GGGGGGGGGTATTTGTGAGCGCACAAGGGGTTATACGGCCATGTTTTTTTTTTATGATTTTGCTTTTCCCTCCCCCGAGGCGGATATGACGATTTACCACATGACACTACTCAAATTTCCTGGCCAGTGGTCATTTACCACTTTATTAAGACTGTTTCTTGTTATGAATGGGTAGCCCGTCCCTCAGTATCCCGTTCCGCGCAATGCTTTCTCTAAAACGCCATAAATGCACCAATGCCTGCCCTTGAATACCAATTTCACCGACTTAACCACGACAAATGCCCCCCATCTAAATCTCGACGTCAATGTCCAGGTCCAACGCCCCAATCACATCATCATCCATGAGCGGCTTGTGAATCCCCGGCACGCCATTGCTCTCCGAGTAATTCTTCTCTTGCAATTTTGCGAGATGGGACAGCATCTCGGGTTTAGTAGCAGCAACCTTGGGCGTGCCGTTTGCCGGCGTGCTGGCTTCGCTACCGTTGGCAGACAGCTTCTGCGGCGTGTCATTAACATCGTGCACAAACTTGGCCTTTGTCCGGAGTCGTCGCGACGGGTCATCGGCGACCTGCTCGCCCCGCTTAAGGGCCATTTCGATCTCGCGAGCTCTAGCCTTCTCCTTGAGCTGGGCCTTGCGGACGAGCTCGGCATTCATTCGCCTGTTTTCGCGGTTGCGCTCTGCCAGCCGGTCTTGTTCTGTTGCGGCCCGGGGCCCGTCTAGGTTCTTTGATGAGCCTAGGGTCGTCCTGAAAGCCAGGCGTTGCGTCCCAAGCTGTTCGAGCTCCTCCTGGAGTTCCTGAGCCTTGGTTTCGTTACCACGAGCCACGGCCTCATCGAGCAACTTGCCAACACGCTCCCTTTCAGCAGGGTCGAACCGACGTTTGAGTTCATTTCTCTTGGCCAAACGGGCTTTGATCTCTTCACTCGTCCACTTGTGGTTGATCAAGTTGTTGATTTCATCAATCTTATCTGCTAGATATGCCTTTGTGGGCAGCTTGACGTTCTCATTGGTGCATGTCACCTGATAACGGTTGAGCTCGTTCTATGGGACTAATTAGAAAAGGTTCCCGCTGATGCGAGCCACACACTTACCTCAGTAAACTTGCCGCTTGAGGCAGCAATAAATGGAAACTCCTTGACCGCTTTGCCATGTGCGGCTTTGACGTATTGATCCGTGACAAACGGCCCCTGAGGCCCGGTGAGAGCGTATGGACGGCTAGTAGTGAAGCCTATGTGCCATGTCTGGTTAGTAGCCTGATCTCGCATATCCTTGCTCATGCAGCTACTCACCCTTGATAACTGCCATGCGATATTGCTCAACCCCGGTCTCTGGATGAGGACCTAGAGCAATTCGGATATAACAACCGGCAATGGCAGACTCAAACCCAGGTGTGAAGCAAACCTGAGCAAACTCATTTCTGCCAAGCCGTACACGCTCAAAGTCCTTCAGCTCAGCAGGTGGTGCCTCCTTCTCTTCCTCCTTCTCGGGTGTTCGGGACCTAGCGCGGCTAAAATCATCACCACTCTCCCCTTCATCCGAATCTCGTCGTGCGGGGGAATAATCTCGTCCGCGTGTCTTGTCTTCCTTGCGCTTCGCCTTCTCTGCGCGAGCTCTGCGAAGAGTGTCCATGGCAGACTCGTTGCCTTTACCAGTACGTTGCCGCGAGGCCTTTCGTTGGCCTTCCTCCAACTCTGCGGTGTCGGCGCTACGCTTCTTTTTGACGTTCCTGCGCTCCGTTTCCTCAATCATTTGCCTGAGACGACGCCTCTGTCGCTGGCGTTCGACCTCGTCCATACGTTCCGCGAGAATACGCTCTCGGTCGACCTCTCGCATGGCCATAATTTCAGCCCTTTCTGCCTCACTTGTGAACTTGCCGTCCACGGGATACTTGTCATCTTCGTCGGTACCGCCAACCCTCGGCGCGGGCTCAGCGTCTGAATCGGATTCGTCCATGGGTGCTGATTCCAGCGAGTTTGGTGACGAAGGGGCTGAGGATCTGATAAAGGGGAACGAGCATTGAGCCGTCAGCAACGTATTTATGAGCGACGACAAGCGAGGATGCAGTAGATCGTGTTCAATGCGCTTCACACGGATCCCACCCAGGCCCGTCTGAGCAATAGGAAAGACGATACTCACGCTTCACCTTCCTCCTCGGAATCATCCTGCCTCGCACGCCGTTTCGACTTCTTTGATTTGCCAGCATCGTTTCTGGAGCGACGCGGCGACTCGGAGCCACCGCGGCTGCGGGCAGAACCCTCGTCTTCAGAGTCACCACCCGCAAGGGCAAGGAGCTCATCTTCGATGTCAGACATGATGGTGGTATCGTTTGTGATGGACAGTCCAGCGGCGAGTGCCAAACGGCAAATCTCTGCTCGAGTTCTCAAGACAACCCGCGGAATCGACCAGTCACGACTGGGCGCGTTGGACCGGTCCAAGTCGATGGCTCACTCTAATAGAAAGAGGCCGGAACCGTGTGGTCAAGGAAGTTGAGGCTGGCAGCGGCGAAACAATCGTAAGGAATGATGACGATGGGAGAGGCGAACAAAAGAGAACAAGTTTCTAGTTGCAGGACCTTTTGTCGTAAATCGAGTGAGCGCTCCCCATTGGGCCGCAGCACTGGCTTCTACCCGTGTGGCGCGCAAGAACGAAGTTGCTCTTGTCGGCCGCTGCATCGGCAAAACGTTTGTCCAGGCTGTGCATACAGTGCTAGTTTGTTGGGTGGCTGAGCTACTCACACTGTCAGTTTAGAGCAGATATATTGTTTGTTCTACGTAAATACCTACCAGGTAGCTATATTCTGTGGCACAATAAGCAAGAAATTGCTAATTTCTTTCTTTCTTTCAATAAGTCGGAGAAACCCCTTGCATATCACTAGCCATAGCTGAATCGCAATCATTCTGCCAATGTCATAAACAGTCTCTATCTCACTTATCACTGCGACGCCCAGGAATACATTGCAAAGTACGAAATATTTACTAACATACTGCAATGCGTTACGATCTAATAAAAACGTATACTACGAGTAAACGATAGTACATTTTGAGCGCGATACCCGGTACTCCGTACTCGGTCTGTTTAAATACTTTGCCCCCCACCGTCCAATCGGCGAGTCTCCCGGCGGACCTTCAAACCCGCTCGGCGTCATCTCTCACCCGAGCCAGCATCGTTCGATCTTATCGCACTCACACTCTTCCAAAAAACTACAAAACCACCAATTGGTGAACAGACAGCAACCATGGCCTCAACCCGATGCCTTTGCAGGCCCACACGAGCTCTAACCTCCTCCAACCTCCTCAGCTTCCCTACCCGTCGAACAATGTCAACCACCTCTTCCCTGTCGCAGACCCCTTCCTCAACCTCCCCCAACACCAAGAAGCGCAAACCGCTAACCCGAGAACAACGCGACTTTCTCTCCTCCGCTGTCCGTCCAGCCCCTCCGGCAATCTGACCCCGAACCCCACGTATATGAAATCATCACTGACGAAACCTTGCCAGCTCCGTGTCAACCAAGCCGGCGAACTGGCCGCCACGCTCATCTACAAAGCGCAAACGCCGCTCGTCGTCCGCCAGCACCCCCACCTCCGACCGCTCATGGCACACATGTACGACCAAGAAGCCGGACACTTTGCAACATTCAACGACCTCATCCACAAGCACCGCGTGCGTCCGACGGCGCTCTACCCGCTGTGGTCTGTCCTCGCCACAGGTCTAGGCTGGTCAACTGCCCTGATGGGCCGCGAGGCAGCAATGGCATGTACGGAGGCGGTCGAGACCGAGATTGGAGACCATTACAATAACCAGATTCGAGAGATACTCGAGATGATTACCCAGTGGGAGGCAGAAGGCTACCAAGTCAGTGCCGAGATTGGGGAGTTGGTAAAGACGTTGAGGAGGATACGGGATGAGGAGCTGGAGCATTTGGACCATGCGGTTGAGCACGATGCGAAGAAGGCAGAGCCGCATTGGTTGTTGACCGGAGTAATAAGGGCCGGCTGTAGGGGAGCGATCTGGGTCAGCGAGCGAGTTTGATGGACACGTGTAAGTTGCAGTGGCATTGTGTATGCCGTGTATCAACAAAGTGAATATTGGGGTTTACAAACGAGCATGTAAGGAATAATTATGTTTTTGATTACAATCAGCTCTATACAATGTACGACATATGAAACAAGGTTCGCTGTGCTATTATGCGTGTTCAGGGCGAGAAAGATAAAATAAAAGGAGGGGACATTGAAACGCCGTGTGTATGCTTCCCTAGAGGGGATGAAAAAGAAAAAAAGTATGCCGAATTCCTTGCTATGCAGCTACAAGACGAAACTCCTTTCGCAATGCAAACAAATTTCTGTGTGCCAGTATTACCGATTCTGTAAATATTTTGATGTCTCCGTCTCCCATTGCCATATTTGACAGGCTGTACTCCGTACTAGTCACTACACACGAGGTGGTTAGATTATCATATTGACAAGGATAGGGCCAACTTACTAGATTGACAACGGAGCAACACCGTCTACTTGGTAGCCCCAGTTTCCATTCTGCTCTTCAGTTAACAACCAATCGTACGGAAACTGGACAATGTTGCCTTGGACCAATTTGAGTAGCTCTTCGGCATCAGCTCTAGAAGGCATGTCTTCGAGGGAGAATCCACGACGGCTTCCTTTGGTGTTGGCACGACGACGCTTTTTGACGGACCCGAATTGAGCTTGCGACGGGATACTGGGAGTCTCCCGCGAGGGCGGCTTGTCCAATGTAGCGAAGGCTGTCTTGCGGTCCGTATTCCTGCTGGCCTGCGGTTCCAGAAGCTTAGCAGGGGCTTCCTCAGGTCCAGGAACGCCCACGTGGCCATTTGGTACTGTTGTTGGCG